TTCAGTTGAGCGCTGCGCAGAAGACCTAAATCAAGACATGCATCCTATATTTCGAAAAGAGAACCGATCGACGTTTGCGTCACTCATAACTCTTCATTTTGATATCAAAAGAATTATTTTTTGCGGTATTTTGAGGCAGAAGAAACAAAGTTTAGGAGGCGAGAATGTTCCTTTGTAATTACTTATTATGTATCTGTATAGTCCAAAGTCGCTTAGAAATTGTAAGAATTGTTTACTCGTCCGCCATTGATTCGAAAAGGAGTGTCAGTTGCATGTTTGCCAATGTAATGGTGTCTAAATATGGCAAATTCTACCAAATTTAGAACCGTAGAAATGCGTCACTTAACACTTCATGCAATACGGCTAATGTTTTGGTGATATAAAAGTATGTGTATACAAATAAATAAAATGCATGCTACATCCTCAAGAGAAACAAATATCAGTGAATGCATGAAGTCGCGCAATACTGAAAAGTAATGACCGAACTTCCCTCGGCTAACCTCTAGTGGGGTTCTGCTCACCTTCTAGATGAATTTATACCAGATTAGAATTGCAACTTAAATCTAGTCGTTTCGTATTTAAAAATTTAAGAACACATTGCCATCTTGTTACAAAGACAGCTCTATAGAGTGTAAAATTGAATCCTTGTGTTTCTTACAACAAAAAACTTTACGATTCACTTTATGTCGGTCTTCTTTGATACTTTGCAATACTTACAGGCAATTTTAACAATACTTTAATTATACCACCGGCCGGGATAATTAGTTCTCGAATTATCTTTATCCATTACTAGTTTTTCTGGACGGCACTTTGGAACGGCCAAATTTATAATGGTACCAAGGATCATTTTCTCCGAAACGAAGAAGATTTGTAACACGTAATTTGAAATTGAAACATTTTTGAAAATGTTAGTATACGTGATTGAATTTTTGGTGAAATACAGCAAATTAATTTCGGTTGTAGATATTAGTTCAAGTGAAGAGCTCGGGCAATATGAAACAAATATCAAATTAATATCGATGAGCGACCGGTAATTATGAACAAAGAACAAACGAAATTGAGGTATTGGAAAAATAGAACAAAGTCGATGAATAATTACTTTCCCTCACATGATGTTTGTGCCAAACATCAAATATTAACGAGACATTTTACCTGCGAAAACATTCTGTTTATACAAGTATTCTGCTTTGCACCACAGAAAAACACAGGATATAGGTGGCGTGCTTAAGACCGCGTCTGAAGTTCACTGTAAGATAGCCTACCTTGTTCATGATATATTTTTTTCCAATAGGTTCAGAGCACGTTCTTGCTTTGAACCGGAAATAATTTCAAGTCCATATAAATGTTTGAGTAACACCAAGTTCATTGTTTTCGTTTACCTGATCAGCGTAGCTTTTGTTATGTACACGGAAAGGAAAAACCGCACCAAGATTTTAAAGGATTTTGATTTATGCCTGAGGGGTTTGCTATAATCAGCCCGACACATAGCAGTTTTATAAATGAGACGTAGAGGTAATTGGAGTTTATAATAATCTGAAACTATACAAATTTCGTCAAAATCTCCGCAATTACCGACAAACTTTCCCAGAAATCTAAGAGCGCAAGAAAAATAAATGCAACTCACTTGAACAATCGTCAAGATAGCTTGAATTTCGATTCCTTTTCGTGCTTGGCGTGTGAAAACGGAAGGACATAGCTACATGTGAGCGATATTGAGAATGAAATACAGACATGATATAATTTTATAGAAACCATTTTACACTTCATTCCCAATGATATCTAACTTAGGTGAGCAAAGAAGGGCGTTCTTATTACTGTCATACGACTTATGACTGACATGATTTCCAAAGGCTTTTTTTGTCGTAGGTACAAGTGTTCTTTGAATACATAGGAAAAAAAACGAGTTTTAGCCGGTAGAGCTAGTCTATTTTTGGTAGCCGTGTCTTGTAAAAGTCTGCATTTCTGGAATAACCTGATTTAAACCAATTTCTGCAGCATTGAAAGTAAATCACGATGACAGTAAAAGATGGCGAACTTCAAGTTATCATTCTTCGTGTACGGTGTATTGTCAGAAAAAAAACTTTGGTAAAGACCCCACCTTGAGACGCCGAGGGCTTAATACTTCAGTATTAAATATATGAAAAGTACGGTAACCTCTTGCATTTTTTAATCTGAGCAAATTTCTTTAGTACAGAGGATTAAATTGCAACGTGAACAATCTGAGAACACTTTATACTGTAAATGTCTGAAATCAGGTATCAATGATATGCGAAAGAACACTTCTTTCTCTTCTTTTGCCTTGTGCATTAGTTGAGTATTCGAACAATCTTCCATATACAAAGCTCTCTGCTCCATCAGAGTGTCAATCTAACTGTCACTCACGTAAGTTGAGTTGGCTTACGTATAGAGGCTTCATTGGTGATTGATTTATTTGAGTCTGAAACACTGACACTCGTATCTCGCAAGGAAAAAATCCTCTAATGTTTGCTTGAGGAGTTTTTGGTCATTTTATTGCTTGATATTTACAATATATGTAACTAAGACAGAACATACGTCACTGAAATCAATTCGTTTCTTCAAAAACGATCAATGAGTCAGCTACAAATGGACTGTTACTGAAACAGTTTGATGCAAACTTCCTTAGCAAGCGTTACGATGCAACTTTTCTGCAATTAATTCTGGATGTAATTGCTCGTAAATACCTTCTATTGTATGGTTAAAATTCCATAACGATACAAAGACAATTGAAATAAACTGAATTAGAAGACGTTTTTATGCAATATTAGACTAAGTTAAATCGTTGGTTGATTTTAACGTCTCAATGACTTCTAGCGCGTTTAAACTTGATATTAAGACACGAACACATTTATTGAAATGACTAAGAATTCTCGAGTACTTCAGCACAAAATTCATCCATCCATCCTTTATTGACTTACCCCGAAGGGACTTTTCAAATACAATACTAAAAGCAATAAAAAATTATGGTAACATTGTATCAATTAAGGCTTAAAACAACCACGGAAATTATACTGTTATGTCAAGGAAATCGTTTTTCGATAAAATCACCAAGAACAGTTTGAAAATTCCATTTTTGTGATTCCTCGCCAAGACATCGACCGGCATCAATTCAGTATTGCTAAACAAATTCAGTCTCTATTTGAGCGTATCCAGGAAACTTTTCTTGGTCTTCAAGCACGAGAGCGATATGAGACCAACTCAATGAAAATTAACTCGAATTTGTCTTTTTTGTCTGAGTCGTTTGACCCCTCTGAATGAGGCGAACCCTTTCAGCTGAAAACGCAAATACTAATGTAATATCAAAGATGACTCGTGGCTAAATTTAGGATTTTATACTAAGGCTAATGATTGCGGTTTATAGATATATTCCCGGTGAGTTATTTTTGAACACAGCATGGAAGTAATCATTCAAGGTATTTGTTAAGAAGGAATTAAGAAGCTTTTTTCTCACGATTTCGCGAGAGCTTTATCATTAGAAGTTTACAACGCAAATATGCTGTTTTTTTTATGATATGTAAATTATTGTAGAAGTTGGTAAAGACAGAACCCTGTAAAACGCCCTAGGGTGACTTGTCCCCCTCCCCCCTGTTTGACCAATTATTGCTCCTTTGTGTTCTGGCCGCATTGTTATATGGGTACCGTGTGAAAGTCTGACAATTATTGGGCATTTTTTTTTTTCGTTTTTGTAAAGAGCTCTTAGTTTCAGCAAGCAAATATTTGTTTCTTTACCGCCAACGAGCCAATATCTGTAAATCCAGTCTCGTTAAAAGGTTGTTAATCTTAGAGCCTCGGTAACAATGGAAGCCAATTGGAGATCACATTGTGAATCCCACGGTTTAAACAGGAGACAATATGTATTCACAGTTTATTTAAATATCTTCACTAATGGTGTAATCAAAAACACGCGAAACAACAGTATGGAAATATCGATTAGTCGCTTTAGAAGCTTTAATGAATCAGCTTGAAGCGGTGGACTTTGAATTTCTTCCTCCAGAAAATTCATCGCTGGAATCTTCTGTGAAAAAAGACTTGGCTTTTTAACAAGCCGGAAAAATGTCCTCGACAAAGGAAGGCTAAGCTTGAGCGTCTTAAGATAATGCAATGCACTTCCTTCAAAGAGTCGCTTTTTTTTTTTTAAGATCGGGTTGAGCGGTTTGCAGAATCGTTCAAGTTAAAAAAAACCCACAATGCCGTTTACTAGTTGGGGCGCTCCGAACCATCGCTCTCCTAAATGTTCAGCAGGTACAAAGTAAAAAATTGTTGTTCAATATTTCACTGGGCATTAATTGCTTTGTTTGTGTCACAACCAAAAAAGGCCGGCTCTGCTGGGGTTAAGAAGTGGGTTACTCAGTGAGAGATTCTTGGAGGATTTTTCTCCAAAAAGGACCACCCAAGAGATAGAATATTATTGCAGTTTGCAAGTCTTTGCCAGATCGACAACACTGCTTTAAACAAAGTGGAGGTTCCTTGAGCCACCCGCCATGAAAAATAACAAACATAACTGTGTTTTGACAGGAAATTATAGTGGAGGTGATGAATAACCCTTGTTAGTGGCAACCGCAAACAAAAGAGGCGTGGATGTTAATTAACACTTCTTTAATCACCAGAGAATTTGATTACAGAGCTGTTTCGCTAACTTCCCCGACTTCTTCGCTTCAGTAGCCGACTTAACAGAGCAACGCTGATCAAAATATTTACACGGACGCGGAAAAATGTAGTTGTTTAAGGGCGGTGATCTCTGTACTCACTGCCTACGTGATGATATGGTTGTCTCGGATGGAACGAGCGTTATATAGCCAGCTCAACTAAGCCACAGATAACACAATACAAGGGCCATTATTGCGTGTGTATTGATACACGTAGAGCCAATCGTATTTCATCATAACAATCGTGCTCTTCACTACAAAAGCAAGCAACGGCAAAGTGCCCGCAGAATTTCGACAAACTCTACACCAGCAACATCCTTTGAGAGAAAGCGTACCATGATTTCGTCAACCGAAGTTGGATCTTCGGCATTCACGCCCGTGTCACATCCCAAGTCGCCAACTGGTGAAGCTGATGAGAACAGAGAAGAATACCAGTGGAGAAATCGCAACACAAACTTGCCATTTTCTCGTCATTTTTGGTCTGTATGGGGACCGTACTCTCCCGCATTCAGTCCAGCAGCTATGGATCATGTTTTGAAGCCTTCAAGCCCTCCACTCTGGCCCATGTGTTCGGCATTTGGAGGTCCAGGCTACCCTTCCTTTTGGAAGGAACGCTTTCATCAGTTCAGATTCACGTCGTGTTCTGACGAAGAAAAGCCCAGTCAGTCATACATCGGACTTATCGCTGAGGCGATCTTAAGCTCGCCCGAAGAGAAACTTATTCTGAGTGACATTTATAACTACATCCTGACACATTATCCTTACTTCAGAAACAAGGGCACTGGCTGGCGAAACAGCATACGTCATAATCTGTCTCTAAACGACTGCTTTGTCAAGGCAGGGCGCAGTCCTAACGGGAAAGGCCATTTCTGGGCGATCAGCTCCGTTTACTATGATGACTTCAGACGTGGTGACTTCAGGAGGAGAAGAATACAGAAAAGATCACACAAAAGCCGTAGAACATCGAGTGAATCCAAAGAAGATGTCGTTATCTGCAAAGCAGAGAGTAGCGAGGAGGTGGGAAAAGTCACCGAGGAACAGGATGAATTGGTCGTCGAGTGTTCCACAAATGAATGCGACGAACAGAAAGAGGAAGAACCCACCACAGAGAAGATTGAAAGTCTTTGCCAAGAAAAGCGCAAATCATTTGACATGGCCAGCTTACTTGCACCTGATAGAGGACAACGCGAGGGAGGATTTCTTGTGCCTGTGTACCCACGGCCCTTCGACCCCAGCCTTGTGTACAACGCGCGTTATCCGACGCATGCAGGTGAATATGTCTCTCCTTCGCCGGTGTTTGAACGCTTCCACGGATCGGAGCCAACAAAGCTTATCTTCCCATACAATTATAGACTTGCTTGTTAATTCAGGCATTTGAACTCTTTCAAGAGCCAGTTTGCAGTCGAAACAAGTCCTTCGAACGACGAACTCTTGGTCTCACGAAAACAGCCTGGATTTGGCGTAGAGCTGTCATGGTCGGTCACATAGCCCGAAATTATTGACTGTTTAATCAGAATTTTTAACGATAACAAAACAGTGATTAGAAGAACTATATAAAAAGAACACTCAGGAGAGATTATTTCAGAGTTTGAGTCTATCTATTATATTTTAGCGTCGTTTAGAAAGAATAGAGGGGAAAATGAAACGATTGTAAAATATTCTATTCCAAAGTATTTGACTATGTCAATCTGAGGGATTTTTTTCCTGTTTTAGGAAAGTGATTTTATCTGAACTCATTGCAGTATTTGTAAATAGTTTCTTTCGAAGGAAAGGAACTTGATAGGAAATTAATGTGGAACACACAAAGGAAATGATATATTAGTGATTACAGATTTGATAATTCACTCATTCAGAGCAAGAAACTGGTTAACAACTCATTTGCAAAGCTTTAAATACTTTCGTGAAGAAAATTCGTTGTTTCATTTTTGGAACTAAATTATTTCGTTAATTAAGGCAGAATTATTGAAACTTAAATTTTCCGTAGATGCTTTTTACCGAGCAATGAAAGAGACTTTCTATAATTTTCATCTGCGAAAGTAATGGAACGTATTAAAATATTTAGGCTGATATTTTTTCAAATGCGAGTGAAGGAAGTCACTGCGTTATTTTAACTGGGTGCATGTAGACGATCGTCCAGTCATGAGCTCGCATGTTTAGATCGGTAAAACTTGTGAAAGTGCATGGCTTTATCGTTGAATAAACACTAGTATATGTTTAATTGCGGTTTCCCAATTCATTTGTGTTTTCCTCACGCATCAATCGTTGCTTAAACACATTTCAAGGACACTTCGCGAACTGTAAAGTCGTTGGATTTGAAGTCTCAATTCTGGCAAAACAGAAACATACAGAAAAGAAAGTAAGCTATTTTGGACTGTAATTTTCTTGATTTCAAGTTGAACTACCCTGGACGTTACACAAAGGTCTTCCTTTTTTAATTTTTTGGAGAAGCATCGAGCCTTTATTCGAAAATATTTCGTGAATTTCTTAGAGTTGTTTTGTTGTATAAGTGAAAATTAATAATACTGCAGTTGATATGCGTGTTGAAGTGAAACTGGATATAAAATATTTTGTTTCTCTTTCAATAGCTTCCAGAGTATTATTTGAGTTAAAAGTCTATAAAAACATCAAAATAGAAACTTTAAGTTAAAAACGGAAACATCTTGCGCTGAAATAGGCTTCTAAGAGAACTCAATACGCGATATTTAGCAAGTATTTTCATAGTGCATGACGAGAAATGAATTTTAGCGCGAATTGGTTGTTCAAATATCAGGGATTAGTTGTATTTGATATATCAGATTGACGGTAAGATATTGTTTATTAGCGAGTTTCAACAACCAAAACAGTTTAAACAACATGTAATTGGCAAGTTTGGCCTCACACAACGATTTTATCATTTATTGAAGATATGTGTACTGTAAAATATTGACCCAAACTGGCCATTATCGTGAATTGAAAGGCACCAGATTCATTCTTTTTTTAAAAACGCTTTTGTTCTTTCTCGTCTTTCTCGAAGCGTATTTGTTCTAATATACTTATAAACGGACAAAGGATTAACAGAAAAATGATTAATTCCCATCAAAGCAGTTTAGAATAGAAATTCCGGTTGATTTTCTCCACACGAAATCTAAGGATGACTAGCAGAAAACACACACAGAAAACGAAATCACTCCAAGACAAAACCGATTGTGAACACAGAAAAATAAATTATCACCCACAAGATTTACTTATTTTGAGGGGATATAGCTTCAGTTCTGACCAATGTAAATACATTAATGGCTTTTGACTAAGTCGCTTACCAAGAATGATCTAGCAGTAAAAACAGTATTTACTGACGTACTTTTAAAAAAGACAATAGTTTCTTCAACAGTTGACTACCCAAATGTCTCCAAGAGAACACTCCGGAACTTAAATCAGTGTTTAACCAATGCATTGGGTGTTACTTGTAATACGAGTAATGAATGGTGTAAAATTTTAATTGAAGGTCCCATGGAAAGATTTCCAGTCTCCACTTGAAATCGTTCCATCTGTACATTATTATGAAAGGAAACAAAAGATTTCTAACTGCGAACAATATATCTGACTTTGTACCTCATTGTGAAATGCTCGCTACTCAGTTAAACAGATTTGAAAACGTTTTTCAGGAACTTACACGTGTTAGACAGACGGAATTAGATCCAAAACCATTATGCCACTATGTAAACTTAAAAAAAAATGTCAGTGCTACGATAAAGTGATTTTTTTCGAAAAAAATTTCGTTTCGTTTCGTTTCGATTTATTGCGCATCGTGAATTTTACAATTTTTCCAATTGTGCTGCTACATAACAAATCTGTCATTTTCGCACGCGTTATATTGTCTTTTTATTTCCTTCTTTTATTCCAGCAATATAAAGGCCATTGTTTCAAAGTGACAAAAACTAACTATATAAGAGTTATAAATCAAATGACACAGCTTTTTTAATTATATCTGAATAGCACGAGTTATGGTAACTAAAGAAATACAAAAAATGTAAAAATAGACTGTCTCAAAGAAATGTAAATTGAACTGATTTTGCATAGGAAAATTAACGAAAAAAACTGAAAATTTTCCGTATTATTTCACGAATTTACTCTCAGATAAAACAATATACGTGTTTTATTCTGTGATTATACCATACATTTTTCCTGTATAATCATTTTCGTGTCCTTTTGTTGAAAAATCTACTATATCTGTTTACTTATACGAAGTTGTGGTTGCCATTTTTCTTCATAACGTCTAGCAGGCCAATCTATGAAACAAAATTCAAGGCAAAATTTCAGCTCATTACAACAGATATCTAGAGTGCCAAGATTGCAAATATATTCCAGTTAAATATGGTTAACCTCGATGGCCTTCGTGAGCTTTATATCACCGCTTAGACCCGCAAGGAATGCAGTTTATTTCATGAATTGTTGTGAAATTATCCGTAAAGACTCAAAAATATTAAATGTGTTGAATGGATAAAAATAAAGGGCAATGGAAAAAGCCACTCTGATAAAAATCAAACGCAGTAGGGGATACTAAAAACATTTAGAACGAGAAGGGAATATTTATTTTACGTTTTGGTTGCGACCAAAACGGAAACCAGCTCGAGTCTTAAAACAGTGCGACATGCAAACGAACAATTTAGTGTTTGATCACATTTTCTTAACCTCCTCCGATATAACACAGCACTTTAACTTTTCCAGAAACTAACTTTTGTAACTAACTGTTTTTAAATTTTTAAAATATTTTTTTTTCATTATTATTAAAAAAAAAAAAAAAAAAAAAAAACTGTTCGGTATTGAAAGCTACTTGATTGCAATGGACTGAAACTAAATTTCTGGTTACAAATGTTCGCTTACGAGTATCTGGGCGGCAAAAACCTATGACTATATTTCGCAACAAAAATCCCAGTATGTAAAGAATTAAATAAGTGCCGAAGTGTTGATACAACAGGCGATCGGGTGCTCTTAATACTGTTATAAGTAGTGCATTAACTGTGGTATTCAATCGTACCGCTCGTTCCTTCTCCATTATCATTAACTCACTTCCCCACAAATTTCCTGTTTTGATAAAGCAATTAAGTGCGTCACCACAGCTTACCTGGTCGCAGCTTTCAACCCTCGATTACCTTTACAGCTTTTTGCCGTCTTTTGTTTCGAAAATTTGTTCATTAACGAGCTGAGTGCCTAGGAAGCGTATGATTTCTGTTTAAGTCGTATTCCTTGCACAAAAACCAATATTCGCTAATGGCCCAAACAACGCAGATTATATATTGTCCTTGGGAAACTTTCCCAGCCGCAATCTGGTGTAAATCTTTAGCTTCTTTTGCATGCGATGAACAAATAATTTTTGCTTGATTTTTTCTGGGTGGTGAAAAGGAAATTGAATCAAATCGGTGACGCTGCTTTGAAAAAAAAAACTAAATTGAAGAAATTTGAATGGATTATTCCTAGGTTTATATTAAACTGATTAAATTGTACTGGATTTAATGTTTTTCTTTTTTCCTTTTTTCTAGCTTGGGCAAAATACAAGGTAGAAATTCTTCCAAAGTTCTTCTCACTGTAAAAGGAAAAACCCGGCAGAGACTTAAACAGCATTTGAATGCCATGTTTTCAATGCTTACCTCAACCTCTCATTTATTATAATTGTTACTAGGACTAATTCCTTGAATGACTTCAATCCACACCCTCAAAAATATCCGGGAAAATAAAGAAAAAAAATCATATTTTTATGCGAAAACCGCTAAACCACTGCACTTAGTTTTTACATTTTATTCTGCTTTAAATGTTATGAAAATCACTGCCTTTTTGCACATGTTTTACATTTCATCACTTTTCTATTTAAATTTCATGTTTATTATGCTAAATGGAATTGTCAGTTTAGAGATATCGAAGTGATCGGGTTACGGAGATGCCAAAAAAGTACCGATACTCTCTATTAAGTTGCAAATTATTAAATTTATTTATTCATTTATTTATTTGCAATGTTTAACCAGGATGGCCCAGTTCAACTGTAAACTAGTTTAAATGTGGGTCTTCTCAAAAAAAAATTTATGACTCTTAGCATTCGGTATATTTTGAAAAGTCTTGGCATTCGATGAATTTCCTTATAAACTTCATTTGGCAGAGTTCCATAATTTCTCTTTCTTTCCTCGTCGTTTTGTGGCAAAAACAGAAGATTCTGACTATTTTTTGCAAACGGAGCCAAGACAGAATTGAAATCATTACAACAAGAACTCAAGGATGGGATAATACCAAACGTACTCATTCTGTTTAACATCGCTCATTACTATTCTGTCGATAAGTATAGATTAATTCATAACAACATTTCCACGAATTTCATGTATCTACCTGATAACTTATTG